GGAGCCCAAAAGTTCTGTTACTGAGGGACACATTTGTTAAATGGATTTTGCCCCATTTTACGACTTTTCTTGCCGTAGCTACTAAGTGAATCAATCCAGATGTTAAGTTAGTTACACGGTGGTTAAGTGAATCCGGCTTCCCCCTGGATTTGGCTTGTCAGAAGGCCGCAAAAGGGGATCACGTGTCCCCGGGTCACTGGAGCTGTCGTAAATACGAGTCAGTTGCCAAGCGTCCATATTTTCATCATGTGAACACAGAGGGTGAAAAATGATCATAAGTCACTCTTTTCAGTGTTGTTGTGACTTTGAACGGTCACTAAATGAATTAGGGTAAGTTGAGGACTACTTGTTGTAGGATTTTTGTCTACTCCTTCCTTAAGGAAGCTTTAATGCAAAGGTCTCCAACCTTGGCAACTTTAAGACTTGTGGACTTCAACTCTCAGAATTCCTCAGCCAGCCAGGGCTGGCTGAGGAATTCTGGGAATTGAAGTCCACCAGATGCAACGTTGGGGCCTCCTGCTTTAATGTACGAATAGGTTTGTGGGAAATTCTCCTTTTTTCACAGGGCTGGAGCGGGATAAGTTTGACAACAAGACGGTTTCATTCGAGGAGCACATCAAGTCAGAACACAACATGTGGCACTATCTATATTTTATCGTTCTGGTCAGAGTGAAAGACCCAACGGAATATACTGGACCCGAAAGTTACGTGGCCCAAATGATTGCGGTGAGTCCCATTTTGGCGTTGATTGTGATGCAGAACGTTGGTCCTTTCAGACACATCTGGAACGTATTCCTCCTTAACTCTAGGTCTTAGGATATCTTCATCTGCACACTGGTAGTCCTCGACTTATGACCAAAACCGAGCCCAAAATTTCTGTCGCTAAGCGAGGTATTTATGATGGGCCCCATTTTACAACTTTTCCTGCCACAGTTGTTAAGTGAATCACGGCAGTTGGCAAGTTAGGGACATGGTTGTTAAGAGAATCCGGCTTCCCCACTTGTCAGACGGTCGCAAAAGGGGGATCACGTGACCCCGAGACACTGCGACCGTCAGAAATACGTCAGTTGTCAAGTGTCCGGATTTTGATCATGTGACCGCCAGGATGCTGCAACGGTCGTGTGAAAAACGATCATAAGTCGCTTTTTTCAGTGCTGTTATAACTTCGAACGGTCACTAATCGAATTGTTGTAAGTCGAGGACTATGTGTAACTGCAAAGGCATTTTAAGCCATCTAATGTACACGAGAAACACTGGCATAATAATATTTTTTTTTAAAAATTGAGCCTTTGTCGCCAGGAGAACATAATGACGTTACCCATCAACGGATAAAAGTTTTGAAAGTTTTGAAAAGTATTGTAATGAAGGAGTTGAAAATAAATAAATAAATTCCACTTACTGTCCCTGATCAAGAATTCTACAGACATATCTGGGAAAGTAGTACAAATGCAAGATTTCTGATTAGCCCAATATTTCTCCTTGAGCTCAGCCTACTTTATTAAGTATTCAGGTTAATGCACACACACACACACACACAGGATGTCCATGGGACAATTGACATCATGTCCTTCATCACATGATTAATTGATTCCTAGCTGAAGAGAGCTGTCACTCACTAAATGGAGCCAAAAATTATGGGAAGGATCAATAACCTTTGTGATATAAGTAAGCGGGGAACCCAGGAAGGTTAAGAAGTGGCATTTAAAAAGATTTGACAGCAAAAAAACCAAACAAACAAACCACGCACTCTTCAATATCTTCATGAACAATTTAGATAGCAGAAGAGGAACTCATCAAATTGGCAGGTGACCCAAGCTTGGGGGAAATAGCCAACACCCCGGAAGATATGCTTAAGATACAGAAGGATCTTGACAGACTTGAACACTGGGCCCTATCTAACAAAATGAAATTCGACGTAGAGAAAACTAAAGTTTTACATTTAGTCAAGAAAAAACAAATGCACAGGTATAGAATAGGTGGTACCTAGCTCAATAGTAATAACTGCCAGAGGGATCTTAAGAGTCCTAGTGGAAAACCACTTAAATATGAGCCAGCCGTGTGCTGCAGCTGTCAAAAAAGCCAATGCAGACCTAGGCTGCATTAACAGAGGGATAGAATCCAGATCACGTGAAGTGTTAATATTACTTTACAATGCCTTGGTAAGGCCACACTTGGAATACTGCATCTAGTTCTGATTGCCACGATGTAAAAAATGTGTTGAGATTCTAGAAAAAGTACAGAGAAGAGCAACAAAGATGAATAGGGGATTGGAGGCGAAAACATATGAAGAACAGTTGCAGGAGTTAATTGGGTATGTCTAGTTTAATTAAAAGAAGGACTTGGGGTGACATGATAGCAGTCTTCCAATATTTGAGGGGCTGTCACAAAGAAGGGGTAACCTATGAGAGAGAGAGAGAGAGAGTGTGTCCACATATGATGATGATGATGATGATAGATAGATAGATAGATAGATAGATAGATAGATAGATAGATAGATAGATACTGTCCACAGATAGATAGATAGATAGATAGATAGATAGATAGATAGATAGATAGATAGATAGATAGATAGATAGATAGATAGATAGAT